GTTTCACATGTGTATTGTTACAAATGTCACACTACTCTGCCTTATGCATGCGTGCTGTGTTGATTGCAATACTACTGTTAGGTATGCTAATTGCATGTGGGAACTTGTTTGAGTACATGTCAGTGCGTTGTAGAACAAGTACTAGTATTATCAGAATGTGCATGTGGGGTGTCTTGATGTCAACTGAATACAGAGCTGCAGATAACTTTTTGAGCAATTGAGTTTTTTCTCCAGGGTTTCTATTTTAATTGGTTTTTCACATTTTTCATTGGGTGACCAATATTTTTTCACGCTATTGGGTTTTTCCCAAAATTAGTGAACATTTTAAGATTTAAAAAAAATGAAATAATGTTTTAGATGTATGGAACTTCTAAATATGTAGGCTTGACTCGGAAAGTAAATTAGCAAGTAATTGTGTTTCGGAAATAAACTCCTTTGTACGCATGCTGGAAAGGCTTTTATTGTGTATTCATGCGTGCTGTTTTTTTACATTTGAGTTTTTCATTTAATGCATGCGTTTCTGTACGCAAGTTAACTGAAAGTTTTGAATATTTTTGGGGGGTATTTTATGCAAATACGCTGCTTATCTGTAGCTCTGTGAGTATTTACCGATACCACCACTCAAAATGTAAATGTACCCGTGCAGATCCGGGGTAGAATAGGTCTTCACCAACCCATGCTTATCTTAAGAGGCGACTATGCTTGTCGTAAGAGGTGACTAACGGGATCGGGTTGTCAGGTTCGCTGATTTGGTTGGTGCATGTCATCGTATCCCAATTGCGTGGATCAATGCTTATGATATCAATCAGTGGATTGTCTGGTCCAGACTTGATTATTTACAGACCGCCTTCATATACTTGAGATATTGCCGAGTGCGGTGTTAAACAATAAATACAAACAAACAAAATGTAAATGTTGTCGCAACAGTTAGAAAACAATGTATTTGTTTGACGGTTCTTATTGTCAAAATTGAGGAACTGGTGATGACCTTTTCCTCTAAGAGGATTAATTTCATCATTTCGTCTCCAGAATTATTAACTCACCTGGCTGAAAGTCAAGTGAGCTTATGTCGTGGCGCCCGTCGTGCTTCGTCAACACCTTCCACTCAGGATCCACAACACAATGCAAGTGAAAGTTTGCAGGCTTCACAAGTGATTCGAACCAGATCTACCACACCTGCCATGTTGAAAAATCGATGTATGACCATTACGGGATTATATTTGTTCAAAATATGGTGGTAATTAATATCAGCACACATTTTCCATAATTGCAATATCTTAAATTTTGACTTTGTTTTGGCCATGCTTGCTCTTTATTCTCTCAACCGCCTCCGTGGTCTAGTGGTAGAGCGTCCGCCCGGAGAGCGGAAGGTCCGGGGTTCAATCCCTGGCCGCGTCATACCAGGAGACGTTAAAAGATGCTACTTTTTGTTATCCTGTCTGGCGCTCGGCATTAAGGGTCTGAAACAAGGACTGGTCGGATCAGTCAGTATACTGTGTTTGAGTAGGGTATCCATGTTAAACTGCGGCACGGTATCTCAGTGGGCTAGCACTGTAAATCGGCATCAGTCCGGACTTGTACAAGCACACACGGACGCACGCACGCACGCACGCACACACACACACGTCGCTATATAAGTTCAATAATCTTGGACGCTACGTTAAGCCCCATTTCTCCTCACGTACCTTTGTCAACATTTGGAACTGATGTATACATATCCAGGTGAGCTACAGCTATTTGGTATTACGTCTATCATTATTGCGTCAGGTTGCATGTGCCCATTACCCATGTCTAGACACTTAAGATTCATAAACTGGTGTAAGTTTGATTTTTTAGCTCACCTGGCTCAAAGTCAAGTGAGCTCATGTCGTGGCGCGTTGTCTGTCGTCACGGTTGTCCATTCGTCCTTAACGTTTACATTTTCGTCATCTGCTCTGAAACTATCCCTATAGAGCTGAAAGTTTATATGAAGGATACTAGATGTGATGTCTCAACTGTGAACACATAATTATGATCCAATTTTAAACATCGGGGCCACGGAAGTCCTGCACCATGACGGTGGAATATATTTATTTTATGAAAAAATAATAATCTAGAAACGCATAGCTAAATCAGCATAGGGAATTTTTTATTTTATTTTTACAGTCAAGAAGGATACTGTAATATAAGATTTCAGAGACCAAATGTCAGTCTAGGGCCACGGCGGCCATCTTGAAAAGGTCATTTTTGCCCATTACTCGACCAATTCCGCATGTATCATTTATAAAAAATGATATACAGCAGTAACACGGTACGGAATCGCTGAACGGCAGATTTGTATTACGTCCCTATTTTGTACGGGTGACATACAAAATGACGACAGTTTACATGACATGCATACATGTTAAATGAGCACAATTAGGCCCACAGGTATGTAATGTTTTTATCTTACACATGGCCTAACATATATACTTTAATGTATATCCATCGAGTGTGTGTTATTTAAAGGTCGAGTTACCAGTAAAATTGGGAAAAAAGACACTGAAATTCGACATCGTTATCTTTACAACAGAAATTGAGAATGCTTTTGCTCATAATAACATATATTATCTTAATAAAATCAATCCTCATTGAAATCTGAAAGACATTGAAGTAAGAAAACTCAATTCGTCCTCAGGAACTAGTATTAGGGACAGAAAAGAGTATACCCTTAAATATGTTTTGAACGAATTGCATCATTTACTTTTAAGCGGTTGAACGAATTATGATCCGTTGGATGCCCTTGGCGTTATCCGTTTAACAGGATCACAGGGATGCTGACTGCCATGGTGCCTTCTGTCGGCAATCAAGATAAAGAGTGAGTGAGTTGGGTTTAATGCTGCTTTTAACAGTTTTCCAGTTATATCACGGCGTGTCAGCTTAATGTGGGCAGGTCTCAGACGTTTACCACTTCGGTGAAACCCACTAGCACGGGTATGGTGCTGACAAACCTAGAAACATAATCGGGGCGAACCGGGATTCGAACCCACAACCATAGGTCTCTGGCGTGCCCAAGGGACGCAACTCTGCACAGCGGATCGCGGCGCCTTAGGCGACTTGGCCACCCGTGCCCCCTCAAGAGAAAGAAAGTTAGTTAAATCAGTCCAGTGATCATCACAGAAACCATCTAAATAAAAAATGTAAATTGACTGTCATAGTGTGATATTATCAAAACAAAAGCATTGTTGAATTTGTCTCTTAATACAACACAGATAATTATCGGTATACCAATCGTATATGTACTGATTTTGGCGTGGCGGTACATTACGCATATTTGCATCTAATGTGTACAATTTAGTTGGTATATTCTGCTCTTTTTCTACTAAAACTGTGACACGATCTCTTGCGTGTTTGCTTCTTTTCTGGTGTAATTCTTCCAAAACTGTTTTCTGGTGTAATCTGTTCAGCGATTCCATACAGTGAGTGAAGGACCCTCGAGGTCCTGTTTTTTCTTGTGATACTGCATTTTAACATCTACTCCAAGTATGGATCTGAAACGTTCTGAATAATCCCAGATCTGGTGTTACACACACACAATTCCAATCCGACTTTTGACCCGTGAAGATTCGGGTTAGAATAGATCTTCAGCCACCCATGCTTGCCGTACCAGGCGAATACGCTTGTAAGAGGCGACTAACCTGATCGGGTGGTCAGGCTCGCTGACTTGGTTGATGCATGTCATCGATCCTAATTGCGTTGATCCATGCTCATGATGTCAATCACTGGATTGTCTGGTCCAGACACGATTAATTACAGACCGCCGTCATATAGCTGGAATATTGTTGAGTGCGGCGTTAAACAACAAACAAACAATCCGACTTTTAACATGTTCATCATTATTTCGTCACAATTCAAAGAGCTACAGAGTCTTATGGCTCTATTTCGTCACCTCGGAAGTGAAGATTGTTACAATAATAATATAATAAAATCAATTCCCAAAATATAATATCAAAGGATGCGTAAATGTAGAACATAACGTTTTCACGGTATTATGTCAAATAATGTGAAAATAAACAGAAATGTGACAGTGGATATTCAGTGCTGAAATAATATATGAAACAATGGTTATATCCAACGTTAGGAGACCATTCGAAAGGACAGTTTTGAAATTAGCATATACCACGAACCGATTCTGTGTGAAATTAACATACACAAACCCGTTATAAGTTACATATAGTTTTCACGCACATAACCATGTATGTATTTGGATGTATAATAATAATATTTAGTGTTAAATATTCGAACCACTTTGTTTACTCGTGTTTGTGTGTCCTGCGACACGTTCTCATTGCATATCGTCCCACGTTTTGCCATGAATATTTGCCTGGAGTCAGTTAGTTTGAAACTGACTATACATATTTGATTACACCTTCTTATCATTCATGACGAGGGTTTTGATCTCGGGCAAGTAACCCAGGGCATGTCATGTTCGTATTAATCACAGCACGTGTCCGGTATTGCCCGGGTCAGCATAATTAATTTCATTATTTAGAAATTAATAACCTTGTCAGTATGTGTTTTCTTGGACAACAAACGTCCTGCTTGAATAATATTATACCCGTATAATGTCAGTTCTCAACTGGGGATGTCACAGTCACCATAGAAACGAAACACACATGCGCAATTGAGATTTTGGAGTTACACAGAGGAAATATAGATCGCAACCGGGAACACATATCCTTGAGTGAAATCGATTTCAAACAACAATAGCAAGTACCCCGTCGATCCCCGATATAACGAGACACGCTCAAGCGGTTGTCGTTGACCAAGTCTGTGTGAGCGGTAGTCGGCGAAGGAGGTAACGGACAATGGAGGGATTAGCTGGTCAATTGTCCGATCTGCCGGACGCCGCGGGATGAACTCACCTCAAAACAACAGAAGAAATTAAATGAGAGCGAGACGCGGACAGGACTATGTTCTACACACGGTATCCCGTTAATGGCCTGTCACGCCCTGGGGGACCACGTGACACAGAGGAGGCGATTTCATTGGATGTTGACATTGTTAGGGAATGTGCTGTTCTATTTTCATTCACACCTGTATCGGGAAATAATACGTGGAATTCGCCATCAAAATGCTTCGTGGTGGCGATGTGAGTTGTGACATGGAGTTGTACCCTTTCTAAACCTACCCTGACATGGATAGCCGACTAGCTCTTGCTCGTTAACACCTGGATTATACACAACGAGACTCAGGTGTGCATGAAGCCACAGCGATCATGGACGAGTTATTTGCGACCAACACCGGGCCACCGGCGACCGCTGGCGATGGAGCGTTTGAGAGATTTCTTACGGCAGCTATCGCTGCTATTATTACCATCATGTTCTCGTGGAGGCTACTCGCAACGGAGGAGAATTTGGGGGGTGGGGAAGGTGCTGTGGGTGGGGCCCCGGTGCCCGTGGGGAGGGAAGTCCCAAAAGTTGTTATGAAGAAAGCGATTAAGATGGCAAAGGCAGCTGGATACACAGAAGAAAGTAAACAACTAGAGAAGGCAAGGGGACTGTGTGATGAAGGTAAGAAGGACGACATAGGCGGTAGCGACACAGGTATAAATACTGTGACGTCACCTGACCTACATAGCGAGTCGCTTATTACGTGCTGGGAAGAGAGGCCTAGATTAAATGACGACGAGGAGAGACTGTTAGAGTCGACCGAATTAAAGGGGCTTTCAACTGAGGCAGATATGAATCTGGGGGTTAACGGGTTCTCAAGGGGCAATCCCGAATATAGGGATATTCTGGACGATGACCGGTACCGTCCGTTCGACGGAGGGGTTGAGTTCGGTGACGATATCGAACCACGTGAATTGGATTCTGACGAGGAGATGTATTGTGGCACAATGTTGGAAACTATTATGGAGGAAGATTCGGATGACATGTGTAGTACCAGTACAGGAAGCGATGCTGACTCGTTAGGGAGGACGGGGGAGTTTGGGTACTTTGAACTTAACGCCGAGGGGGACCACGAGGGGGATTATACTGAGGAGGGGGGTTGCACGGTGCACGTGGTTGACGATGGGTCCGAACTCAGCACTAATGTGATAACTATTTCCAGTGGTGCTTCATGGCCCGATGACGATGAATTCGGTGACACTGTTTCGTATGAGGAGACAGCTGTTGATAGCTTCAGTGAGGGAGCAGACGACAGTTATGATGCGCAGAGGAAGACTGCGCAGCTTCCGGGTGATACAGCAGACGATAGCAATTCTGATGGCAGCGATGAGTCTGTGATAACTGTTGTTACTAGGCAACTATCTGAGGAGAAAGAAAGTCCTTTAAGTTCACAAGAATTCACCTTTACAAACACAGGCCAAATCGAAATTGTCCCCGTGAGGACACGCGCAACAAGTCAAGTTCTGAATGTCGCTCCCGTATCCGTTCAGTCAACTTTCCAGGCCTTACAACCCGATGAACCGTATCCGACAGACGATCAACACTCACCCGATATGGGGTCAGGCATTGACGAGGGCTTACAAAGTGAAAAACATGCAGAAACAACCGATATACCGTCCCCTTCACTAGACTCCGGGGTTTATTCGATTGAAACTCGGACAGACGACGACAAAGTGCGCGGGTCGCTCGAGGGTATTGATGAACTTGAGGAAAAGTTTGATATCAACAGTAATGTTGATACACGTGATAAAAGTGCCAAAGAATCAGAGTATGATAGTGCTTCCATTAATGCAAGTCGTGTGTTGAACATTGAGACAGTGGACAGGGAGTCCGCAGGGTCAGACAGTTCCGTAGATGAAAGTGGGAGGAGATTGGACATTGTGTATGGTGATGCGAGCGGGGATGATGATGTGCCTGATTATAAGGATGCTTATGTTTCGTCTGCTGTTGAGAAAACCCCAAAAGGATTTATATTCTCTCGTTTTGAGCTGGAAACCACGGACTATGAGGAGAAAGTGTATACTACTGACAGAGCAACTCACACGGTTGTGGCTAAACTTGTTGCAGAGGAGAGGTTTGTTCCCACGGAGCAGACTGATGCCAAGATTCGTAAACAGTTTTCGAATCTGGAAGACGGGGATAAGATCAAGACATCACCTCAAACGTTCGCAAAAGCTGGAACGTCAAAGGAAACAAATGTTGATGAAAGTTTTGAACCAGTTTCGGAGAGTCGACCTCTTATACTGAGACCTGGTTCACCAGAGAAGAAACGGACACATCTAGCTACCGAACATAGGCAAGCAAACATTGATGACCCTGTGGGCGTTGCCGAACGCCTGCAGCGTCACCAACGTGAAACAGATATTGATGACCATGACGTTAGATATCAAGATACCAACGGAGTCACAAAACATATGTTATCCATGACGGGGGCTGCTGCTCCACCCGAGAAGCTTCTGAGGATGGATAAGACGGATGGGTCTCGCTCCCATCGCATTGTGCCTGTGACGAAAGAGTTGTCTGTTGCTGATCGACTGATGAAGGTTGATGGAGGCATACTACGTGAGACTAACATTGGCGACACACCCAGCTTGACAAAACGTGTTTCATCCGTCAGCCAAGGGGAATCTCCCCCTGAGAAAGTACTGAAAATTGGCATCAGTAAATCTCTGGAGACTCTTATTGATGACAAGGAACCATCAACCACTCCTTCAGGCACAGACGGAGGTCAAGGTCAACTTGGAACAGAGAAAACGTTGACGTTTATCACCGAATCTCGGGATACAATAACAGATTGTAGGCATTCTTCTGAGTCGACAGTGCCTTCGAAGCAGAGCCAAGTAAAACCTAAAGTAGAAGACAGACCAGAGACGCAGTCACGGGAAACTTTGATTGATGACCCCAACTCCTACACTGGACAAGGCACTGGTAACAGAAACAGTACTGTGAATGTGCAGCAAGTACACACTATTCATCGTTCCCGTGAAACACTTATTGATGACGTTGTCAGCCCAGTGTCTGAAGAACTGAAGACAGACCGGTTACCCAAACGTGTTGTAAATACGTCTAAAGAAACACTTATTGATGACGTAGTCAGCCCAGTGTCTGAAGAACTGAAGACAAACCGGTTACCCAAACGTGTTGTAAATACGTCTAAAGAGACACTTATTGATGATGCTCCGGTGGTAGAAGTCTCGACTTGGTCACAGGATCGAACAGAGCGGACAGACACACCCAGAAGAAGTTGGGAAACAATGGTCGATGACGTAGGAATTACGTCATCTGCACATGTTTTCAAATCGGCCCAGATGGAGGTTAAATCTCCTGTATATAGATCGCGGGAAACGTTGATCGATGACGTACTTCCACCGCAAATCGAGGAGAGACTCGCTAAAGCTGAGTCTCGTGAATCATTAATTGATGAGATAGACATGGTTTTGTCTGGACGCACCGACTACCGAATGAAGACCGTCGCCGGAGTACAACACGACATGCCTTTAGATGATATCCCACCTACTCAGGAGGCCTGGAAACCACCCCAGGACAATGTGGGCATGGGTCTGTATACCCTTGATGGACGTCGCGAAACCCTCATTGATGATCCAGCTGTTCCAAGTGAAGGACTTAGAAAGGCATCATCTTTGAAAACGGGATCGTTTATACACATTTCTGGAGCACGTGAAACCTTGATCGATAATAAACGTTTCACATCAACTGAACACATGTTAGACCGTGCAGGGATAACGGACGAGACTGATGGGACATTGAATATTGGGACACCGGGAATATATGAAACTAACATTGATGATGTGTCTGAAATAGTGCTGCCTGAAAGAATTTTGAACATTGATCAGGAAAATGTGAAACTCTTCAGGAATAGAGCTTCCTTAAATAAGGACGGTAGCAGTGAAGGATTGGATGAAAGTAATGGGAATGAACTTGATAAGAGCTTTGGTGATGTTACAAACAGAAGTGAGGACATGCTTGGTGTGGTGTCTCCTGAGAAGAAGAACGATGTCCCAGGAACAGACATCAATGCGGTTGAAGATGAAGATGAGGATGAATGGGTAGTGGATGAAGTTGTGCAAGACTTTACTATTATGACAGGGCCGGAGGGTAAGAGGAGTTTCATTCCTGGAAAGATGGAACACAGGATTATTCACGTGTCTTCAGAACACAAACCAAGCATGCCCGAAACTTCACAGTCATCTTCGGGTCAGTCATCCGAAACCTCACCTCAACATGTACAGACGCAGGAGTCTCAAAGGAGCAAGGAAACAGAAATCTCAATGGAGCCCATACCAGCAGATAGGCCAACTCCAAAGCCGAGAAGGAGCCTCAGATCAGAAGATGGATTGGCAGAACCACAAGCTGGCGCTGGTCATCCAACTCCAACAATTACAACCCAGGTTGGTCCTGATGGTAAACTACACTTAGATGAAGGGTCCTGGAAGCCATTAAGTGATTCCATAAAGGCCGAGAAATCGCCTGCAGCTGTGAGAAAGTTGGTCATGGAAGATGTAATCATATCTGGCTCTCACCTCATTCCGCGCCCGAGACGACAGGTTTACAGCGAGGCTGACAAAAGTAACCCACTTGTTGCTATGAACTCTGGTGACATGGGTTCCTATGGCACCAGGTCGAATCTTGCCCATGTTAGCACAGACATTGAATCAGAGGTTGACATCGACTTTGAAATGTTTGCCGGTGGTGTGGATGATGCGGATGGCGTCGACGGTGCGATTAGGCCAGTGTCTGAATCTTCACCTAAGCACGAAGGGGAACAAGCAGTTGCTGATGGCAACGAAAGCCCAGATGACTCAGGATTTCCAAGTCCGGATGTTTCAAGGAAGATATTAGAGCAGTTCAAAAGATCCAAGAGTGTTGAACATCTTAGACGGAAATCCTGGGGCATGGTTGAGGACGAGACCGTCTTCATGCCCACACAGCCTGTTAAGCCTGACTCTCCTGTCATGTCTTCACCTGTCCTCAGTCCGCCAATAATCCCAGATTCCCCTGTTGTCTCCCCGCCCTCAATGTCATTTCTTGTGTCCAAGAAGGGATCAAAGAGTGTACCTAACCTTGCTGGAATTGACGACTCCCCAACCATCAATGCACCCATGTCACACACGAGAGGATCAGCAGCGATCGTTGCATCTCCAACGGTTCAAATGACGCCCAAAGCTGGTGCTTCGCCACTTACGAAGAAACCATCTCGGTATACCAAGAAGTATTCAACAACTGCTTCATCGCCTGTGATTAAAGCAGCCGCCAAGTCAAAGGCAGAGTCCCAACAAACAACACGACAGGTCACACACACTGACATAGATGATGTAGTGGATGGGGCAGTCTCAGAAACATCACAGCTTTCAACCGTAGGACCAAAGTCGTTTTCTGTTGAAAAGAAATATCCTGATGAGACAACATTTTCGGCTGGAGTCGAGTCATCGCCTGTAATATCCCCATCTCCTATGATTTCTCCATCTCCTGTTTCCTTGTTACCTGCATCACCTGTGATAAAGCAGGCACCAGCTATTGTTCAGTCTCCTACAGTTCAGCTACACAAGACTCAAACTAGATCGCCGCTATTTCAACAGATCTACCGGTCTTCTGTTGTGACACCCTCAAAACCAGTCGAAGCAGCTCCTGTCATATCGGCGTCACCAAAGATCGAAAGTCCCGTGATTATCAGTTCTCCTTCAGTGAAGATGACCAAAGACGTCAGATCATCTCCTGCTGTTCAAGCATCTCCTCTGATAGAGGAATCTCCTTCCATTCCAATGTCGCCAACAATTAAGGCATCAGAACGCTTAGATGCATCTCCGTTTATTGAAGAATCTCCTTCCATTCCAATGTCACCAACTATCAAGTCTTCAGAATTTATAGATGCATCACCCAGTATTTCCTTCCCAACACATTCCTCAGCAATTCCACAATCCCCTACTCTAGCATCTCCTTTGATTCCCGATTCACCAGTAATTCCCACTTCACCAACCATTCTACAATCACCTTCCTTATCAGCACCGCCAACGATTCTTGCCTCACCAACTGTTTCCATTCCAATCTCACCAACCGTTTCTATGACCGGTCCGCCAAGTCTAGAAGACACGTCTTTCGAAGACCAATCGTCTTTTGGAAGCCAAAAGAGATATAGATCTCTTAAAGAGATTAAGAGAAAATTCTCGAGCAAGAACTTCAAATCTATGCACATGCCACCCACACCAAACATCGGACAGTTCGTAGTACCTCCCAGATCGGTGCTCACCACAAGGAACAAAATCAATGCTTACAGAAAAAGGTTCCTCAGTGAAGGCAACCTCCTGGACGATTCTGAGAGCCAACTCAATGACCAGTTTAACGAGCACAAAGAATCTCTAACAACAAAATACAAGTCCCCACGCCGCCCAGGACAGAAAACCCCAAGCAGTTACCGCAGTCAGGATAACTTGGAGAGGTTCACTCTAGCCTACCCGAACTTTTTCTGGGATGATTCAACTGACGGCAGACCTAGCATCGATGAGCTTCACAAAAATTGCATTTTTACCCCAGAAGGCAGAAGAGATATTATGAACAAAACACTCTCAATCGAAAATTTGTCGTTAGACCTTGGCGCTCATTTGAGACGCTATGGCTCCGTGACATCCTTATATGAGACTGACATTGATACGGGCGAAACATCCGAAACAATACCCTTTCCCGAAACTGATCTAGACCTTTGGTTCTCTTTGCAGCATCCAATAGAACGCGCTGTCAGTATGACGGACCTACGCAGTGAACGTTCCTATCGGACAGGGACAGGGAAGGGGAGATTTGCACATCGTAATGTACCTAAGTCGAAGAGTCTCCAGACTCTTGAAACTAACCTTGATGACGAGGAAGATGAACTTAAGCGAGTACCGTCAGTGCATGAACTCCGTGTAACCAAATCCCTGTCTAAGTTAAATATACCCGACTGGTTTAAGAACTCTAGCTTATCTAAGAGTGGTAGTTGTATGTTAAGGCATGGCTCCACATCCACAATGTCGTCATGGGGATACAACCCCAGTCTGACATCATCTCCCTGTCCCTCTGTAACACCGACTGGGAATGTTGTTATCAAAACCCGTGTGTCCCCTTCCAGTAGTATGAGACTCTTTAAATCCCCCAAGTTTGCCTCAGTACCCACCTTACCCAAAACCCCGGAAGAGAGACAGCCTAAGGCACCTGTTAAACTTCCAAGTGAAAGATTAAGAAAAAGTGACAAACCGAAAGGTTTGGAGAAAATCCCAATAGTGCCTTTTGCTCAAATTAGGGCAATGTTTGAAGCTAAAGCAGCTAATGAACGAGCTAGAAAGAAGGACAGTGCAGTGCGCCAAGACTCAGTGTCGTCAAAACTTTCAGCAAAAGCTGCTAGTCCCGTGCCCGTAGTGACTGTGTCCCCTAGTGAAATTGTTATACTTGAAAGTAGCCCCAAGAGACCCAGGAGTCCCCCCGTTATTCCCCCAGAACAAGCTAGAATTTCATATGCACCAATGCCACAACAGGGACCTTCTACAAATGCAGGGGACACTTCTCAGCCATGGAGAAGGCCACTCAGCCCCAGTACTATAAGTCCTCAACGGCCGCTGAGTCCCACTGAAACTACTATTCCTCAGAGAACTACAAGCCCCTTAGGATCAGCTGGTTCTCATAGATCCACAAGTCCCGCAGTGTCCACAAGTCCTCAGAGGCCCCTCAGTCCTGCTGAAAGCACAAGTCCTAGATCAATTAGTCCTCTTGGGTCATTGAGCGGTCCAGAAGATGCGAATAGATCGTTCAGTCCTTCCGACAGGATGCGACCAATAAATCCAGATGGTCCTCATAATCGGTCGATGAGTTCCACAGGGTCAATGAGTCCTCCGAGGTCAATTAGTCCTGGGGGAATTCTCAGCCCGAGAGGATATAGTGCATATACCGGCCAAGAGCAGCCAGCCAGCCCAGAAAGCCCCCCGCAAAGTCCAGTCGAGAAGAGTGCCCCAAGGGGCATCCTGGGACCCACAGTGAGATTCGTAGAGACTGAGAAAATAGAAGTTAAGGACAACAAGCCCGCAAAGCCCTCTGGTAAAAAGACAGACTTTTTCAAACGTTTGCAAGTGTTCCAACGGCCCGACAAAGATAAGAAAAACAACAAAGCAGAAGACCCACAGAAACAGGTACCAGCCTCCAAGCTCAAATCTGCGTTCGAACCCTTCTCACGGAACTCCAAATCTATAGAATCTGCCCCATCAATTCAAGCCCCTAACTCTCAAGCACCCCCCAAATCTCCCACACGCACCGAAGCCGAAACCAAACTAGTGGAGGAAGCTCCCGTGTTACAAGCACCCAATTCAAAATCCATAGAGTCCGCCCCCACCTTAAAAGCACCTTCGCGCACGGCACCAGAACCCACAGGGAACTCAAGTGAAATTTTCTCAAACGATCGCAATTCTCATAGTCGGCAAGAGCCTCGCAATGGGGCTTCTTCCCATGATCCCCCGGCTGGTCCAGTCAGGGTAGGTAATTCGGGGCAGAGCCTGACCACGCCTGTGCTAACGCCCACACCATTCTCTAGAACTTCTTCAACGTCTGAGGCACAGAAACAAAGCATGAAAGGTGAGGTCTTGTTTTCTATACGTTTTCGTAGAACAGATAAAGTCGTGGTCAGATGGTAAATCCTGTGTAAATTATACAATGGATCTTTATTTTATTTCATCATCTGTGCTATTATCTTTATGCTATTTATGCTTCTTACTGCTTACTCTTGCCTGACATTGGGAAACAGAATTGTAAGATATTGGTTATGTTTTTGTCATAATATTATCACATGTACTTCAGGATTTGTGTTAATTCTGGTGTAAGTGGTAGATGCTATATACTGAGACACTTTGAGAATGCATTCTTCAGGGTTTTCTGTCCATTTGTGCCGTTGTTCTTGTTTATGGTTGAGTAAGCAAACTGTTTAGTTAAAAAAAACACCCTATGTTATGGTTCGAATCCCGGCCGGTCCCGGTAAGCACCATACCCGTGCTCGAGGGTTTCACCAAAAGTGGTAAACGTCTGAGACCTGCACCACTTCGGGCTTTCCTCCCACATTAAGCTTACACCCCGTGATAAAACTGGAATACTGTTCAAAGCGACGTTAAACCCAACTCACTCAGTCACTCACTCACACGTCAAATGAAACATTTACAGTATGGACGTCTTCCAACAATGGAGGCTCTAAGAATTGCTCACATAATTCAATCTGATTTTATATATACTGCCATACTGAAAGTCTCATTTTTGCTGAATACTAAGACATGTCTGTATAGCATTGTGAAATTTGATATGTGCTCAAACACATGTCCCTGCTATGACCTTTGACCTTCCCAGCCAAATGTAAACTTACTTTATCTGCAGTTTGTACATCTCTGAGACCGAAGTGCCGATTTATTGTAATGTTCCCTTTAAGCTGACTTGTAAATGTCAATTTAAATCTGACCTCAGACCAATGGTAATATTTCAATGTGCACATGACGATATTTGTTGCGAAGCACCTGCGCTGTTACCTTCTTACCGTCCTCCCATGTACTGTGAGTTTTATGTAAGTTGGGTTTAACCCCGCTTTTTACAGTATTCCAGTTATATCACCGCGTGTCAGCTTAATGTGGGAGGAAAGCCCGAAGTGATGCAGGTCTCGGACGCTTACCTCTTCGGTGTAACCCACGAGCACGGGTATGGTGCTGACAAACCTAGAAACAGCATGAGGGCAGACCGGGATTCGAACCCAAGATTATTATATACTCACGGCTCTTTCAGAACAGATCAAGAGAGCTATAGACCATATTTCTTTCTCAATTTCTTTTTATTTACTTTACGTTCTCAAAGTGTTTCAGTATATTGACTTTACATTCTCAGACCACGGTCCACTCATATACACGATACCAGTCATAGTGAATTCAGGATATGATCTTCCAATTTGACCAAAATATGTTACTCCGTTTCAAAAGAGTGGAAACAGATTGGTAGAAATGCGAATCGCTTATTTTGCATTATGGCAGAACAATCATTCAAAGATACGTCTCCGTTATTGTATTTGCCTTAACACTTTCTGTGTAGAAATATCCATGACCAGAAATGCTTATTGTCCATGTTTGTTCAGCTGTTTTTGTTGTTGTCAATTATTGTGACTTGGTGTGAAAACATTCCTATTAATCAATACAGTTGTATAGTCAGGGAATGTCACGGACTGCTAATTATGCTAATTGCTTTATTCAGGGAGCGCATGATCGTCGTGCTGGTAACGGTTGAATGACTTGTGTCGCCAACAATCAGAATCAAACATTGCTCATGTTCTACACGATATTTGTTCCAACAACTAACAAAATGAATTCCTTTTTTCGATGTGCACTCATTATTAGGTTCAAAATGTTATCTGTCTGTTGTTATAACCTTGGTTTTGTTTTTGGCCCTTTGGACTTAATTATTTGCATGACGCAATGCTGGACATGTTATAATTTTCTGATTACGGTGTATGCTATCTTCCCTGTAGGACAAACTATTTTTAACACATTAATAGTCACAAAATTCACTTTGATGTGTGGAAGATGAAAAGAATACAAGAGACCACTAACAGTGAATTCCATTTAATATCACAACTGTAATTCCAATAATGGTGGCAGAATTCGACACTCCCTATGACAGCACGTGTTACTACTGCAAAAACCATCTCCCCTGCCTCTTCTTCTAGCCGTATCCATGCCTTGTTTTTGAAGCAATTGGCGTTCCCGCTAGTTTTATTTAAGACGTTTCAACTCATTTCTTTCGTAGATGAATCGGTTAAAGACAACAGAATGTCAGTTTTACAATTACACCGACTTGACTGTGAATGGGCACAGAACCATAGTACCCTTTTAACATTGTTTTGCGTGTCTCAGCAATGTCCCTGCATATTCTTTAAGTGCTTCTCTTTGCTACATCCTTCATGGCACCGTCTCATACCTCTGTCCAATAACGACATTGCACACGGCATACTATTGCGAAACAAACTACTGGAACATCACGTCCTGACATTTGCATAATCGAGGCTGAATAATCCGTGCAGTTGATATCAGCGGCAGGGGTGGAGGGTTTGCTTGTGGCGCAGTTGACGAATACCAATAGAGCATGTACTCCACGTGCAAGGAGGGACGGAAGGGTAACATGGTGCTTAAAGCGTTCGCTCGTCACGCCGAAAGCCCGGGTTCGATTCCCACATGGGTACATTGTTTGAAGCTAATTTCTGGTGTTCCCCGCCGTGATATTGCTGGAATATTGCTAAAAGCGGCGTAAAACCATACTCACTCACTACGTGTAAGGAGTCACGTCTCGCAGTAAACTGTTTTCAAAATGGACTGTTCCGTTACACCGGGTACCCCTTCAATACAAAATGCAATGTCCTCGCCGATATTTCTTTAGTTTGTTTTGCAATAGCGTCTAGCATCTAGTATCTAGCATCTAGTATCTAGTCGGTCGCACCAGCCCCTGGCCCTGAACCTGCATGTGCAAGGTAGGTATGTATAACTGCAGTGACTGGACGTAGGATGCCTTGTAAGTATCTAACTAATCCACCTTCCCGGAACATCAAGTAATCCCATGTCGAGCCACCACAGGTCGCGATCCATAATCCATACGCGCCATTGTGAGATGGAATGGGGTTTTCACAGCGACGTGCCTGCACCCGTGTGTGTGACGGCTTGTCCGTACTAAATCTGGTGTCACAGTGAGATAACACGGAGATACCATGCCGCAGTTAAACATGAATACCCCACCCAGACACAGTATACTTCGAGCCGATCAGCCCTTGTTTTGTCCCTTTAAATCGAGAGACAGGCAGGGTAACAAAAAATACCATCCAGAGCTCCAGATAAGCTTTTGGTGTTGTGGGTATTTTACCCATGCATCTGAAAATCATTGGGTATCAGTAATTCTATCTGGGTATTCAAATTTCTGTTACCCACAAGTTTTTACACATGTGGGTATTAAAGTTAAATGTTTAAAAACACTATTCATCTAGTACCTGCAATCTTGTCGTGTGGGTTCGAGAGCTTTATGGGACTCAAAAATACCGCGATAGTTCCACAAGAAAGTGTGATGGCAAATGATCATGATGTAACTGTCATCGTGGAGTTTGGCAAGGTTGACGGAATGTCCGAATAATTTCAAAATAAGTTGCTGATTTGCTAATCAAATACGCAGGGTTACTTCACAATATTTTGATGATACGCACTAGTCTTATTTTTGTAGCGTATCTGTAATGTTCGTTGCGTATTTGATACGCTTGAATTTTATTTCACTGCGTTTTTCTGCATTTCTGACGCGTATTTTACGCAGATACGCAGCTTATCTGGAGCTCTGCCATCTTTTAACGTCTATCGGTATGGCGCGACCGAGAATCGAACACACGACCTTCCGCTCTTAGGACAGACGCTCTACCACTAGATATCAGAATACAATTGTAGGAATAATTAATTGAGCCACTTTCAACCAAACACAGGTGAATAACACAGGCGAATTTCAAAATCTGAATAAAGAAAGCCATGTCTTTAGCAACCTCAGTTATAAGTGTTTTCATTCTGGTTTGAATGACACTTATAGCCACCCCCCCCCCCCCCCCCCCCCCCAATCGCATTAAACATTTCGTTCAAAACTTGAAATAAGTGGCGATATCGCCAGTACACGACTCGCCTTGTTGCTTGCAGTCCCAAGTACAACTGTCTTGTAGCAAAACAAATTCCCCCGTCAGTCTTATACTCATTATAACCTATTTTCAATCTGAAAGTATTTCCAAAAGGTACCTATGGTGGCGAATGGGTGCAGGATCCTTATCATATTAGAATGGAGATGTGATGCACAGAATAGTCGAGAATGTATTATTAATGATTTCTGATTTTCATTATTTATCTGATTGATGATAAACATCCTCAACAGTTCATAGATATATTTAATTGAATTTGTTTCCCAATTTCGGAAGTCGACGGAAATGAGAATCGGTTGGTCACAATGTGTGGTTTAGCTAATGACGTCATTGTGCTTTCACCCAAGACACGAGGCTCGATTATTTAGAGGCTCTCGTGGTTTTGCTGTTATAACTTAATCATAATAAATACACGTTTCGTCCTGAAAACGATAATAAATAATCCAGATAATAGCACTGATTTACTATGTATAGAATTAGATACATTGTATTAAATATAGAATGCATAAGAATGAAAATTGGTTAAATGTTAATCACATAAACATGTGTCAAAATTTCTATTCCAATACTTTAATATTCAATAATCTTCATAACAGCATCTTAAAGTTTTCCATAATTTTAGAACTTTCCTCGTCCTCAGTTAGCATGGCTAGTGGTAATCTAACAAACCCCTATCTCTATGAAAACATCATCAACGACGGCTAATGGACTAGCGTTAAAAAAGAATTACGGGAATACACATAATGCGAAATAAGTAATAATTAATAAGTATTCAAAAAGTATGGAAGTAAGCATCTACGAAGACATGGCCTAGTTATGACGGCCATTTTCGTTATTATTTATCTAATACGTCTAGATATAATATCTATATAATTTATGCGTAAACATGGACCGCGAC